CAGCAGAGCAATGCCACCCAGGCACACAGAGCTTCAGCCTGCCATTCTGGCACCGAAGGCTTCTTGCCTCAATAAGTGTTGTCTCCCTGAGACAGACTTCTGATGTGAATGACAGACACCATCACTACCAAGGACTTTCCTTGATTTGCTTAGTTAAAATTAGATATTTAGGTTAGCTTAACCTCTGAAAATGTAACTCCCAACAAGGCCTTGCAGGGAAAAGCTGAAACCAATGGAAAGGCATGGATTCTCTGTTGCCAGGACTGAACGACAGCCTACTGCAGCATAAGGCAAGCATTTCAAAACATTATTCTAGGATTAATTTATCTTTAGAGTCCTAAAATAGTCTGTTTTGCAGTATTCTGCACAGAATTTCTGGACCTTCTTTGCACTTATCCCACCTACCATTCGGTTCCCCTCTGTCGCATCTTCCTGGGCCAACTCTATGCTCCTCTTTTTTCCCCCTCTTCCTCAGGAACCAAACAAGGATCCAAAATGCATGCTAGAAGCACACTGATTCTCCACAATGAAGAGGAATGGTAAGCAAACACAACCCAACATGATAGAAGAGGAAAACACATTCTAAATGGGAAAGCAACTTGTAATTTTTAAGGCTAGGAATTATTTTTTTTTCTAGGTAGAGAGCCACACCTGCTAGAAAAAATTTGACAAGCTTTGCGACCCATGGGCCTATCCTCAGATATTGAACAGATATGAAGAAGAAGCTGCATTTTACCCAAGTTTTGACCCAATATAAATTTGGGTTGTATAAAACTTGGCAAAGTAGAAACTTAGATAAGTCCTTGGGCACAGGATACACTGATTTCTCCCATGACTGCACTATTTAAGCCACATGGTGGCCCACATGGTGCCCCATGGTCAACTCTACTCAGCACCTTTTAATGAGGAAAGTTCCCTTGAGGTCAAGTCTACAGTAAAGATCCTCAGAATTTTGTTCACAAGCCCATTAGGGTCCACCAAAATGTTTCAGATCCTTGTACCTACCACGCACTTCAAACTGCACCCAGAAATGGTTAAGCACACAAGCTCACCTCCCCACTGCTGCTTTGGGTGTTGGTAAATTAACCTGCTACAGCTTGAAGAGCATTGCAAATTGGTGTTCCAGCAGCAGCATATCACATCAGGTGTGCATCACCTCCCTGCAGACTGCCAGGCATAATCAGTCCCTGGTTTTAAGGCACAGATCCAAGTCTGCTCAAAAGACAACTATGGCACCAGTTGGTGTTCTTGCTGTCACTAGCTTTTGCTGCAGTCCTGCTCCTGCAAGCCAGTCCTCACAATTCTGCCTGTGTAGTTCCATATGGAGTTAAGGCCAGGACACTGATGAAGGCTCTTTCAACTCACAGGACTACTTTCACACTGTAATCTGTTAGAGCTTGTTCCCAACAGTTGCACAGCCAATGATAAAGTGTGGAAGGTATAACTTTTCAACCAGAAGAGCTAAATGCAGCACAGGGTGTTTACAAACAACTGAAAGCTGCTCTGAGACCATGTCATCAGAACACAAAGCTTCCTGCACAACTGTGGTTTGAGTTTGATGCCCAAAATCCATAAAATCAGTTCCACAGCAGCAATCAAGCTCTGATCTCATTTATTCT